TCTCTCTCTCTCTGTTAAATAAATAAGTAAAATCTTTAAAAAATAAAGATCATGTCTACATAGATACAGTTTATCATGCTAAGAAAGTATTCATCCATTTCTGTTTTAAGAATTTTCATGTAAAGTGAGTATTGGAATTTGTCAAATGTCTGCATTTTGCAGAGATATTTTTTCCTTTATTAACAGATTTTCTAATTTCAACCAACCCTTCATGCCTGCAACAGTCTCACTGCGTATTTGTTAATAGCTTTTTAAGATGTAATTTATATGCCACAAGATTCACTTATTTTATATGTTCGGTTCTGCAAATTTTAGTAAATATATAGACTTGTGCAACCATTATCACAGTCTGTTTTTGGAACATTTTCTTCAACCCAAAGACAGTTCTTTTGTCCATTTGCAGTCATTTCCACCCCTTAGCCTCAAACACTTATTAATCTATCTTATCTGTAGATTTGCCTATTCTTGACATTTCATGCTAATGGAATCATAACTTATGGTCTTTAGAATCTAGCTTTTTTTGCTTAGCATTATTTTGAGGTTCATGTTCGAGGTCCATGTTGCAGCATAAATAACTACTTGACCCCTTTTTATTGCCTAACGGGTATGGGATTGTAAGGTCATAGCCATTTTCTCTCAGATTTTCATTTACAGTTTTGTTCCATTTTCTTCCTAAATTTTAATATTGCAGAGGAAAAGTACATTGCCTTTCTGATTCTCTTTTCTCTGTAAATGGCTTGTTTAACTTTGAAGTTTTTTTTATGCTCTTTGTCTTTATTACTGAAAATTTAGCAATTTCACCATGTCTTCAATATGTCTTTTTTCAGTGAGTGTTGAGAACTAAACTTTCTTAGTGAGCATTTAGAACTAGACTTAAGCCTTGGTGAATTTTCTTCTCTTATTTTTTATTTATTGTACTATCTGATCATTTCCCTTTTCTTGGGAAAATCCTATTAACTCTCCTGGATCTAGCCTCAGTTTCTTCTCTTTTCTTCCATAATTTCCTTTCTTCCTTCCTTTTGTTGTTGTGATGGTTCTGTAGATTACAGAATTCCTAGAGTTGTTGTTCTCAATCATTTTATATAGTATATATATATAATTTTTTATTTTATTTTTTTAAGATTTATTTACTTACTTTGGGGGAGGCAAAAGGAGCGGGAGAGTCTTAAGCAGATTCCGCAGTGAGCACGGAGACTGATGCTGGGCTCAGTCTCACAACCCTGAAATCATGGCCTGAGCTGAAACCAAGAGTCTGGCACTTAACCAACTGTGCCACCCATGTGCCCCAATTATATTTTAAATAGCATCTGTTAGGGGCACCTGGGTGGCTCAGTCTGGTTGAGTGGCTGCCTTTGGCTCAGGTCATGATCCTGGCATACTGGGATCAAGTCCTGCCTTGGGCCCCCTGCTCAGCAGGGAATCTGCTTCTCCTTTCCCTTGCTTTTGTGTTCTTGCTTGCTCGCGCTCTCTCTCTCTCCCTCTCAAATAAATAAATAAAATCTTAAAAAAAAAAATGCATCTGGGGCACCTGGGTGGCTCAGTCGTTAAGTGTCTGCCTTCAGCTCAGGTTGTGATCCCAGGATACTGGGATCAAGCCCCGCATCAGGCTCCCTGCTCAGCGGGAAGCGTGCTTCTCCCTCTCCCACTACCCCTGCTTGTGTTCCCTCTCTCGCTGTGTCTCTCTCTGTCAAATAAATAAATAAAATCTTTAAAAAAAAAAAATAGCATCTGTTCAGTTTCTCTGATACATTTTTTCCTGGCCATTATATTTTTAATTCTGAGAGCTCTTTTATTTTCCCTTTTTCGTGACAATTAGCATTTATAATGTGAATACCGGATTTCACTAGATAGATTACTTGCTGAAACAAACAAGACTGACATTCTCCAGAGGGCTGATAGATGCAACAACGTAAATGACTCTCAAATGTATTATGCTATAGAAAAGAAGACAGAATCGATTTGTATGACATACTGGAAAAGGCAAAACTATAGGGGTAGGAGTGCCTGGGTGGCTCAGTCGGTTAAGTGTCTGCCATGGGCTCGAGTCGTGGTCTCAGGGTCCTGGGATCGAGCTCCGCATCGGGCTCTCTCTGCTCAGAGGGGAGCCTGCTTCTTCCTCTCCATCTGCCACTCCCCCTGCCTGTGCTCACTCTCTCTCTCTCTCTCTCTCTGTCAAGTAAATAAATAAAATCTTTAAAAAAAAGGCACCTGGGTGGCTCATTCGTTAAGCGTCTGCCTTCGGCTCAGGTCATGATCCCAGGGTCCTGGGATCGAGCCCCACATTGGGCTCCCTGCTCGGCGGGAAGCCTGCTTCTCCCTCTCCCTCTGCCTGCCTGCCGCTCCCCCTGCTTATGCTCTCTCTCTATCTCTGTCTCTGTGTCAAATAAAAATAAATAAAATCTTTTAAATAAATAAAATCTTAAAAAAAAAACTGTAGGGGTAAAGGAGATCAGTGCTGGTCAGGCTTAGCAGGTGGGAAGAGGATTTGGGTAGAAGAGACAGCACAAGAGAATTTTGGGGCGTAATGGAACTGTTCTGTATCTTGGTTGTGGTGATAGTTACATGACACCGTGCATCTGTCAAAACTCATAAAACTGCACATGGAAAAGGTGGATGTTACTATGTAACCTGAAACCAAAATACTGCTCATTGTTGAAGGATTCTAAAAACCAATTCATTACTTTTAATTTTGGCAGATAAAGAGAAAGAAGCAACCATTTATTCAGCCTTTCTGAATAAAATGGACATCACAATAACCAAATAATTGAAACTTTAAGCATCCACAAGATTAAAATGCTTCAGTTTTAAATCATCATTGATTTGCCAGTGATTATTTCACTATTCTGCAGAGGAAAAGAATATTAACTATGTATCCCAGCTCATTTATATGAGATATTCAGAATAGGCAAACTTAAAGAGACAGAAAGACCAGCAGTTACTTAGGGTAGGGGTGGGAGAGATGGGGATTGATTGCTAATAGAGAGTGATTGAAAATGTTCTAAAATTAGATTGTGGTGATAGTTGCACAACCCTATGACTATATTTTGAGAAACTGAATTTTGTACTCTAAATGGTTGAATTGTATGGTGTATGAATTCTATCCCAGTAAAGCTGTTGAAAAGACAAGTACACATTCTGGAATTTGTTTCAGTACAACAGCCAAAGTGCAGCAGAGGCTGATAGGATTCATGCGTCCTGAAAATGGAAATACCCAGCAGATGCAACAGGAACTGCAGAGGAAGTTTCATGGTAAGTTATTCCTTCTGATCAGTTGACTGTACATGACCCCAGTGAAGAGTTTTATTCATCGAATAGAAAACAGTGGATTGAATAGAAAACAGTGGACATCTCTCAATAAGATCTAGTTTTTTGATAACACAAAATTTTTTGTTAAAATAG